GGCGAAGTTAGTGAGGACTGCCATCATAGTTGCTAGTTGCTCTTACTACACTTAGAGAGATTCTGCAGGATGGTTGGCATATTGACGGGCTGTGATTTCTGAGTTACTAATGCTGAAATGATGGGTTCATTGTTCGTGCCTGGTTTTCCTGTCGCTTTGGTTGCAGCAGACGTCGATCCGACGGGGTTAGATTTCTGGGAAATGCTGGATTTGGGTTTTTCGGTTAATCCTTTTGGATCGAGGGTTATTAATGCTATTTTTTTGTGGTGTTTGGTTAGCGTCACTAATCTTAGAGATCGATGTTCACGTAGCTTCCTCTCCGGCCATGGTGGTTTGTCAACTAGTCCCTCGCTCAGCTGGTGAACCTTAGGTTAGATGATCCTTCCCCTCCTTCTAGCGCCAATTGTTCCAGGTATGGATCCAAGGGTTCAGCTAGCACGAGTTGGGTCCGGTTGACTACTTGTGCAAGGTAGCACACGTAAAATGCCCTCGGAAGTGGCTCAAGGAAACCCCCCCCCCTCCGAAGCTTAAGTTAGAATGTGTTTTAGAGACAGAAAGTGTACTTAGAAAGATAGAGAGAGTGTATAACTTGTGTGTCTAACCTCTTTTATGTTTTACTTTGCCCTCTACTTATAGGCGTATTATCTCCTTTGGGGGGAGTTGTACTTGGTCTGCCTGCGGGCTGACTCTATCGGGCTAAGGAACCCCTTCGGTTATCCTTCCAGCAATGAGTGAGCACCCCAGGGGACAGTCTGGGAGCCCGGGGATAGCTCAGCTGGAGCTATCCTATACAACTATTTTTAACAATTACTCGTAAATAACTATATAACATAATATGCATAGAAAATTTAAATTAAAAATTCAATTAAAATACTTTGTATATTTTTCAAAGCAATGTCAAATGGGGTAGCTCAAAAAGAATATATATATATATATATATATATATATATATATAATAATATATATATATATATATATATATATATATATATAATATATATATATATATATATATATATATATATATATATGATATCATCCTTGCATTTCGGCGAGAAAAAAATAAATAAGAAAGTGACACGCAAACACTAATGACATAAGCTATTCTTATTTTAGTAGTAACTAGTTTTTTGCCTGAGCAATGCTCGGATATTCATAAAGAAAAAAAATTATATTTATATTACTCTAAGTGTACGAAGTATTTGTTTATAGATCGAGTATACATTTAATATTTTATTTAGTTTAAGTTGTTATTATTCTATTATTTAGGCTGTATACTCTCTTTTTTTTATCAACTATCTTACTTCCTATGTTTTTCAATTACTGCACCACTTGCCTTTTAAGAAAGTTTCACAAATATTGCACAATCTCCATTTAAGGAAATAAAATGTCTCTTTTCACACTTCAAATACCTAGTATGCCCTTACTTTTAACACTTGATTCTTTATTTTATACTTATATCACATGGTTAATGATGTACTTCTACCCTTCTCTCTCTTCCTTTTTTCCACTACCAAAAATATTGTGTCGAACCTATATGGTGCGATAATAAAAGAACATAGGAAGTATTATTTTTTACAGAGAAAAAAATTCGCTGGAAAATTTTTAATGTGGACACGAGCACGCGACACTTGTACTTTTGGGATAATCTTGGTGATTACTTTAGTATATAGTATACTAGATTAGCCCTAAGCGACACACGACATTAAAAAAATTCTTTGAAATATGTAATATATAGTTTCTGTGTTCATATTACTTAGTTACCTCATATAAGAAACATAGAGTATATATTTTAAGTATATATTGTATGAAGCATAAGTGTCGGGAAAGAAACAATAGATTTAGATAGTTGGTGATATAAGGAAAATAAATAAATTATAGAGTATAAATAAATTGATAGGAAGTGAAATTAAATTTGAAACTTAAAACCAAAGAAAAAAATATAATGACATCGTATTTTAGGTGGGAAAATTTTTCTTATAAAGTTGTCATGTAGACAATATGATGTCAGCGAGTGATATTTATAGATACTAAACTCTACCTTATTTTTTATTTCATTTTTTGGATTTTTACATAACTGTTAATTTCTGTAGGAATGTAAACAGTTATATGTGGCTGAAATTACTTATTCAAGGGTTAGTTATTCTGAGATTACTTATTCAGGGGTTATTCGGTTGGTCTAGACACTGGGGTTACTTCAAGGGCTACTTATTTAGGGGTTACTCGTTCGATGAGGGATTACTTGGGTGGTTAAGGGTTACTCTCACACAATAAATACGCTAACCGACCGAGTAGCCCAAAATAAGTAACGCTTAACCGACTGGATAACCCCTAAATAGGTAACCCATGAATAAGTAACCCCAACAAAACGCGTTAAGCAACTGAGTAACCCCAAAATAAGTAACTCTAACCTCTGAATAAGTAACCCTAAGCACACAGTGTAGCCAGAAACGAAGAAAAAACACCGATTATCTAATTTTTAATTTTTTTTTGTGAGGACCCGATTATCTAATCTTATATATATATATATATATATATATATATATATATATATATATATATATATATATAATATATATATATATATATATATATATATAATATATATATATATATAATATATATATATATATATATATATAGGGAGTGGATCATGTAAAAACAAGGCTTAAATTAAAAACTGAAAACATATAATTTCCACCGTCCACAAAAATCAATGGCTGAGATTAGAGGAAAAAAACACGCGATGTTCGTCCTTTTTATTGCCTTTATCCGTAACTTTCTCTATATACTTTATTCCTTTCTCTCTCTTGTTCAAAGCTCCATTACTTCAAATTTCTCGATTCTTCTTCTAATTTCATGCTACTTCAAAATCACAATGATGTAATAGCTTCGATTCTTCATCAAATTCGTTATCATTATCTTCTACGATCTAGTATCAAGTAAGTAAATCGATTTTGATTTCGCTAATTATATCATTTTTACATTATCCGATTAATTTTCTTTATTTTAGCGTGAATTTATTTTTAAATTCAAATTAATTTCTTCATATTGTTGTTTTTTTAGCTATAATGTTATTTTGTGGTTCTATATTTATGTTTAATTTTGTATTTTCTAAGTTTTATTAAAATCAAACTAATTTTTCAATTCAAATTTTTTGAGTTTCGATTTTAATTTTAGTTGTGGCTTGTTCCATTTGAATTTCACGATTCTAATTTTGTATTTGTTGACATTATTGTTATGAACTTAAGCGACGAAGAGAAAACGAAGGTTTTGTTGAGGTTGTGGCTTGTTGGATATGAATTCCAGTGTATATTGCATATTGTTTGGGTTTGGGTTAACTGTTGAGTATAGGAGGAGGAGAGAGATTAGCAGGCCTAGGTTTGGGTACTTATGTTCAAATTTAACTTAATTTCTTCGTATAACATTCTTTGAGATTCATTTGTGTAATTTATTGTATTTTGTGTAAATTAGGTTTTAGCTTGATTTTAGTTTGAGATCTTGCTACTATGATGTGTTGCTTTTGCTTTTGTTTTTCGTTTCTGATTTGTGTATTTTTTGAGTTCTTCGTTTCTGAATTTTTTTATTTTTTTTTTATCGTAAATTTGCTCGTTTTTATTCTGGTGGAAATTATCGATTTGATTTGTATTTTTGAGTTTCGACTTCAGTACATTTTCATAGGAGTAGATTTGAACGATATTTTGTTTTAGTTGTTAATCGGACTAGGAAAGTGATTGTTGATGTTGCTGAAGGAGATGCCGAAGATGTGAACAGAGCAGTATCTGCTGCTCAGAAAGCATTCGATGAAGGATCATGGCCAAAGATGACTGCTTATGTAACTAAATTTCGAAAAATTCGTGAAATTATACTTCGATTTTAAGTATTATTATTATTATTATTGTTATTGTTATTGTTAGTAGTTTAATTGTTATTTGGTTGAGTTTTCGTTGCGATTTTTCGTGTATTTTTTACTTTGTTTATCGAATTTGGTTTGCGTTTACTGTTAATCTGAAGTAGTTGGAGAAATGTACACTCAATGGAAGATCTTGAGAGTTGAAATGAAATTTTTGTTTGGATTTTCTGCAAGAATTTGTGTGAATTTGTTTCGATTTTCTTTTACTTTTTGTATTATGCTATATTGTTGCTGTGAATGCTGTTGATTAGGATTATGGTGCTGACGTGCTGTATTATTTCAATGAATTAGGAGAAGGGACAATCAGAGGATAAAGGACAACAGGAGAAAGGTTCAGATGACAAGGAACAACAGGAGAAAGCATCATTTGTTAATGAGCGCAGAAGTTATCTGATGACAAGGAGGAGCAGGAGAAGTAATCTGATGATAGTTACCTTATTTTTGTAAATAGCGACTTCTATATAAATGTGGTCAATGTTGTCAAAATTGATATAATTACCTTATTATTATACATAGTGACCTTCGTTATTTTTATATATAGTGGCTTTGTATAAATGTGGTCAAAATTGATATAGTTACCTTATTTTTGTATATATGACCTTTATGTAAATGTGGTCAAAATTGATATTATTACCCTATTTTTGTATATAGTGACCTCTAAGTAAATATTGTAAAAACTGATATAGTTACCTTATTTCTATATATAGTGGCCTCGGTGTAAATGTCATCAAAATTAATATAACTTGATATAATTACCTTATTTTTATATATAGTGACCTCTGGGTTGTTTCACACCATCAGATCATCTAGTGAACTTTCAATGGCTAAGATTGCTTGTTTTTAGTTTTCACCATAAGCTCTGTTTTTAGCGGAACTTCCCCGTATATATATATATATATATATATATATATATATATATATATATATATATATATTATATATATATATATATATATATATATATTTGTGAGGACCCGATTATCTAATCTTATACTCCTCGTCCTATTATCTGCAACTTTAGAATATTTTATACTCACAAAAAATGCCCCAAAGTTGCAGATAATAGCGACCGGAGTAGTATATCGAGTTATAATGAGAACCAATCCTATAATAGGAACTAATTAGGGCCGTTAGATCTTCCTTAGATGCGGATAGATAGGCGGCTGAGATTAATCTAAACTTACTCCATTCGTTTCCCAACCATCGAGCGCACATCCTCTCATTTCTCTCTCCTCAAGCATTTTCTCTCTCCTCCATAGCAATGAGTGCATCTGAATTCTCCATTGATGCGGCTTTTGAGCCTTCTCTACTCCAATGAAGTAGCTTCTGAGGTAAGATGTTTGATTTTCTCTTTTTTTTTTCTTTTTTTTTTTTTGAATCACGAATTTCAATTTACTGGTTTATCATTAATTTTTGTCAATTTAGGGTTCTTTATAGTGAAATTCAACCTTTTATTTATAATTTCTGAGGTTATGAATGGTATATCGATTGATTTTGTCAATTTTGGTTAAATTCCCCAATGAAATTTGTGCTTAAATTTTGATGCACACTAACTGTTTGATTAAATTCCCCAATGAAATTTGCAGGTGGATCAAACCTAACTACTTGAATTCATTTTAAGATTTAGATACATATCCAGCTAGTAGCAATAATTCTCATAAAAAAAAATTGTTATATGTTGTTTTGCGCTTTCATATTAGTAAGTAATGGATTTTTTGATATTATATGCAAAAGGATGTTCATGGGAAGTGGTATAGAGTATTGAAGAGAATTCGTCTCAAGTAAATACTTGCCCAATAGTATATATACAGCAGTAAGAAATCAGTGCAGCTGTTGAAGATTCTACATTTTTAGGTTTGACAAGATCATACTTGGCGTTTTTAGCCTTATTAAGATGCTTAAAATCCTACAATTGAGTTGTATGAAAAGCACATAGTATATGATTTCTAGTTTGAACTTTACTGCATGTGTATATAACCCATATGTTTTTTTGATGTTTGTTTGATAAAATTCCCCAATGAATCAAATTATATTATCAATTTCACATGTAGATAGAAATCAAGTTAAAGTAAACCAATTATATTTTAAAGTCCTAAATTATTTATGATATCGGGCATGTTCTGCCAGTAAGAGCCAAGAGTCAAGTTGGTCTCCTTCCACTCTTGGCTGAGTATAGAATGAGAATGGGAATTCTGCCAGCAAGAGTCAGGTGAGGCCGAGAAATGTGGGGAGGAATGATGGCTGAGCCTCCACGTTATATGCTCCGTGGGTTGGGGGTTGTTGTTCGTGACAATGCTAGGGATGCTCTGGCAGCAACTTGTTGTAACCTTGCAAAATATTTGATTTTGATGTGGTTGTTTTTGAAGCAATGGCTGCTAGACACATGCTTACTATGGAAATAGAAGCGGGGTTAACTGACAACCTGAAGCTATATCAACATTTGAAGAACAAAAGGCATGAGAACGCAAGCTTCAGACTTATAGTGTGTGATATCCTTCAGCTAGGTAGTTTGTGTTTGCTTCTGACATTTCAAGCTTATAATATTTCTCTTTTGCTTTATATAAAAAAACTAAAAAAAAAAGAAGGAAGACTATAAAGTGAATAAAAAACACTTTAAAGTAAACCTATTAGCTCAAGTGGTAGAATACTATGCGGAGTTGCGGATGCATAGAGGTGTAGGTTCAATTCCTCATATCCTTACAAGATGAGTCAAGTTATATGAAAGTGGTATATAAATATTAATGTAAATGTTTTCAAATTAAAAGTAAATAAAATAATATCAAAAGAAAATTAAAAATTCCAAGAATATATGTATAATGAAATCATTTAATGGGATATACAAATATAGATACTTAGTTATGACTGATGTCTCCTTATAAGATGAGCCAAATCATAACCTACTTTACAAAATTGAAAATTAATCACATAAAGAAGCATATCAAATTAAAATAAATGTTTTGAAATAAAAAGTGAATACAGTAATGTATAAAGTAAATTACAAATCATTTAAAAAAGTTGTTATTATTGGTCCAAGTGTGTGGAGCTATTAGGGTGGGGGTGGGGGGAGTGTTTCTGCTGCTAGCCATGCTGGAGCTGCTACTGTAAGAGGGGGGTCGTGTTCTTGTTGCTGCTCGTTCCAATGCTACCATTGCATCTGACCATGTGGGTGCGCTGTTGCTAGGGGTTGGAGTCTGTGTGCTGCTACTCGTGTGGGTGTTGCTGCTGTAAGTAGGGGAAATGAGGCAATTGCTTCTCACTCTTGTGCTATTCACACATATGGCGGTGCCCTCCTACAAGAAGGTGGATATGGATGCAAATGTTTGAGTGGGGCGAGCTATTAGGCTTGGGATAGTGATCATGGATGAGTTGGATAAGGTTGTAGCTGCTGGAAAACTATGCTCATACTACACTTCTCCTGCAATTGCTGAAGCTCTCGCATTAAGATACGACCTCCAACTAGCAAGAAGATTGGGGTATTTAAAAGTAAATAAAAAAGAATCTAAAGTGAATAAAAAAGACTTTACAGTAAACTGAATGAAATATACACAAATAATTAAAAGAAATAATTTCATCTCATAAATAAACCAATAAAACAATATCAAAAGAAAATTTGACACAGTGTTAAAAAGAGTATTTTTGTAAATTATACCTGATACCAAGTAGTCCTGATTACTGTCTAATGACGTAGTAGACTTGGCATGTAATACTTCGCGATCTTTTTCCTTTGGGCGGGAGGGGACTAATTTTGAATAATTTGATATATATGATTATGAAAGGAGTTGTATTTATCTTGGAACTCAAGTTCTTGCAGACTCAATACTACCTCACTTGTTTAGGTTGTTCCTGAAGGTTTTTGTGGTGCTGTAAGGTAAGCTTTGGTTTGTTTCCCTTGCTTTCGGAAATATAGTAATTACTTATCTTCTTTTATGTTGATTACTTGTTTGTCTTTCATAAACACTGCCAAAACTCCTTTGAACTTTCTTAGCCATCAACTGATTTGGCTATGGTAGACCCCAATCTGTTAGTGTATATATATATATGAGTATGGATTGACTCCTTCTGTAATGAATGATGTTATGCTAGATTCTGCTAGCATTTCTTAATCAAAATCTGTTGCTGCTTTCTTTCAACAACAAAAAAATGTTCTCGTTGATGAGAAATACATATGTTGTCTCTAAGAGTAAATAAAAAAGAATAAAAAGTGAATAAAAAGGACTTTAAAGTAAACCTATTAGCTCATGTGGTAGAGCACTATGCGGAAGCATAGAGGTGTAGGTTCGATTCCTACATAAGTTATATTAAAAAGTAATTACAAAACACTCTAAAGTTATTCAAAATACGTCAAACGTAAATCAAAATCTCTCAAAAGTAAGAAGAAAATCTTAAAAAAATAATAATAATATATGTTAAAAGTAAATCATAATTCTCTAAAGTAAATAAATAATGCTAAAAAGTAAACCAAGGTATCATTGAAGTAAATCAAATTAGCTCTAAAGTATATGAATAATAAATTATCTTCAAAATGATAAATGACTATGGGAACATTGTTATAGCACAAAACCTCGAGTCATTGACTTTCATATCCTTACAAGGCGAGTCAAATTATAAGAAACAAATATATTGAGTTTGATATGATGTAGAGGTTTTTAAATTAAAAGTAAATAAAACTATATCAAAAGTTAAAAAAAAAAAAAGGTAATCTAATAAAACATTAGGAACTCTAATCTTCATATTAAACACATAAACCTACGTGGGATTCGAACCCACATCTTTTGTGCACTTGCACAATGCTCTACCTATTGAGCTAGTAGGCTAATATAGAGTAAGAATAATTCGTTAACACAATCAATCGTTTTTAGTTTCTTTATAAAGGAAATAACAAAAGTAAAAATACATCTCCTTCCAAACGTATTCACTTCACACCTAATCTACGTGCCACAAGAAACCTGAACCTTGCTCTACTGCATATTCAATCTCTAACCTTCCAAAGATAGCTACTACTAATAAGGTATAATGAAATAAAAAATCAAAATATTTATCATTATAAAAAAAAAGGAAGCAAATTAATCACAGTTATACTAACCAATATATTATTGAAACTAGTTAAGAAGAATGTTGTTCTTTATGTCCTTGTGAACATATGGCGGGCTTGTATATCTATGTAGGTAGTTCAGCCCTGTGGCAACATCACAAACCACCTGCATTCTTTGTCCCCAACTCAAGGTTTTTTTATCGGGGCAGTCTTGGTAAATCCAATCACTCTAAGGTCCATTACCTGCATATTCATAGACAAAGTACCAAATTCCATCCTAAAAGCAAACCCTCAACAATCTGATGAGATTTAAATGGTTGATCTTGTTTAGTACATTAATCTTTTTGCTGACATCTCCATCCATCTTCTTGATTACCACCTGATCGCCATTTACATTTCCCTTATACACCATTCCCTTAATCTAATGATTAGTACTGCAATTCACTGTCGCTGCTTGCAGGTCCTTGAAACTGTATACTTTCAGGGAAGCTATTTTCCCTTATACACAGATCCCTTGATCTAATGATCAGTACACAGACTGCACTCTTTGCTCACAGCAGCATCCCGTAATTAAAAAATCTCGACAGAATCATTATTCAATCAATTACATAAATCTAGACTAATATGATTTAAATTTCATAAAACTAAACCAACTACTTAATCAAATAGCTAAAATTCTCAACTTAAACAAACAATGTACATCAATCTAAATATCATACAACTAAAATTAAAACTTGTTGACACTAATAAAGATGCTAAAATTACCTCCAAAAACAAAATGATGCTGAATTTCTTGAGATTTGATGCCCTGTACAAGACCACATACACACACACACACACACACAAGTGCACACACACACAAACAATTAACTGGAAAAAACAGAGTCAGATTTCATAGTTCGGACATCTTAATTCAATTTTTAAACTACTGTGCCTACAATTTGTAGTGTATATAGATCATGGGCCTCTGACAAAACACTAGAAGAAATTCCTACAGAAACCCACCTCCCGATCCTTGCATTACTTGTAGTAAGCAAAGAAAAAACATGGAAAAGCAAGATACATAAAGAAAAAGGTTGCTCAAATGCTCATAACTTAAGTGTAGAAAAACAATCTTTAGACTAACACTAACACCTCATCACCCTTTAGCTAACGCCCTTTACCTACTGCTTATCAGGGAAATGATTGCAAGTCAACCAATAATGCTACTCAGAACTCCTATAATCACATAGTTAAGCCCTGGTAAATTTGACTCCTTTGTGAGGGGTACCTCTTTATTCATTTAATAGGAAAAACTTGAAATTGTGTGGAATATATTTTCTGAAGTTATGTTCACTATCCTAGAATATTATTCCAAATATACAGAGAAATGTTTAAGAAAAAAGTTCATAGTACAGTGATCATTTGGACTTTAAAGCAGCTTATTCCCATATATGAAAAAGAAGTATCCCAAAACAGAATACCTGTCGAACTTTATACATGCAAGCCTTTGGGCAGCCGGAAAAGGAAGCAAAGACAACAGCCTTTAAGCACTACCAATCATGGTATAAAAACAAGGCCGCGACGTCTTGGTTGAGCCGTTTTGTAAAGGAAATTCAATTGACCGAACCGAGATTGTCCGCATCAACAAGGGGTATTAAAAAACCCCGCGATTTTGTCCGAATCAAATATTTTAACCCTAAATCACCCCGCATTGAAAGTTACATCTATTATTTCACACAAAAGTTATTTTTTATTCAAAGATATTGTGAAAGATTCCCCCATATCTCCCCACTAATGGCTCAAATCTTTTATTATGCCCACATATCACCTCACTAATGGCTCTAATCTTCTACTATCTTGAAATCAAATTTGCATCGAGACAACCGTGACATGGTCCGCGATCAACGCATCATAAGCGTTCCCGCGACATCGCAACCGTTCCCGTGATCGTAATCGAAACCGCATTTTTGAACCATGCTACCAATACACACATACATAACACAACACCAACAA